CTTGGGGCACACTGGGGCTGTTTCGGGGCCCTCTTGGATGCCTCATGGGCCGTCTTGGGGCGTTTGGGGGTGCCTCTTAACCCGTTTGGGAGCGTCGGAGAACCGAAAAAGCGAGAACACCAACATATTCCAAGAACCGAAGGATAGTTCATGATCTTTGCGTGTGGGGACCCTCCTGGGAGGCCTCTTGGAGACCTCTGCGGGCGCCTTGGGGGCATCTTGGGCAGTCTTGAGATCGACCTGGGCGTTTTGGAGCGATCCTTCGGCGACGCGGGGCCTTCTTGGACCGTCTTGGAGGCCTCTCTTGGGCCCGTCTTGGGCCCGTCTTGGGGCTCTGTTGGGTCCGAAAAAGTCATGCGACAAGACGCTTGGACCTCGGGGGCCACGCGGCGAGTCCCCGGAGACTTGGCGATTCAGGGCCCTTCGGGGCTGAGGACTGAGGCTACAGGGGATAGAGCAGAGGACGTGAGGACACTCCAGCTCGTGCGTCAAGGGCACACAGATACTTCATAGTTCCCGTTAACCTGAGTCCGTGGCAGGAGACTGGCCCGAGTGTGCCTGGGCTTTCTTGTTGTAACGACTCCGTCCTCAGAGTCGTGGAAGGAAGTGCAGGCCCAGCGAGCATGGGCTTACCACACCCAAAGCGTACCTATACGACCACCCTGCGGGTGATAAGGAGGTTGCGTGGGGGGGGAGAGGGGGGAACCAACATCTGACTCAATCGGTCTCACTATCGATCTCACTCAACGAACACCACGGGGCACCACGAGACACCACGGGACACTTGTCGATCTCACTATCGATCTCACTATCGATCTCACTCAACGGGACATCACGGACACCACGGGCCACCACGGGACACCACGGGACACTGCGGAACACCTCTTGATCTCACTATCGGTCTCACTATCGATCTCACTATCAATCTCACTCAACGGGACATCATAGGACACCACGGGACACCTCGGGACACCACATCGATCTCACTATCGATCTCACTATCGATCTCACTCAACGGGACACAACGGGACACCACGGGACACCACGGAACACCTGTCGATCTCAGTATGGATCTCACTATCGATCTGACTTTTTGGGACACCACGGGACACCTCGGGCACCACATCGATCTCAGTATCGATCTCACTATCGATCTCACTCATCGCGACACCACGGGACACCACGGGACACCACGGGACACCTGTCGATCTCATTATCGATCTCACTTTTTGGGACACCACGGGACACGTCGGGGCACCACATCGATCTCAGTATCGATCTCAGTATCGATCTCACTATCGATCTCACTATCGATCTCACCATCGATCTCACTCAACGGGACACCACGGGACACCACGGGACACCACGGGACACCGGCGGGTCACCGGCGGGACACCGCGCGGCACCGGCCGCCGGAGGAGAAACATTTGGTCCGGCCGCGGTCCAGCCACAGGAGGATTTCGGGACACCAGCGGAACACCGGCGGGGCACCGCGCGGCCCTGGCCGCCAGAGGAGTTACATTTGGTCCGGCCGCGGCCCAGCCACAGGAGGATATCTTCTCGCCCGCCCACGCAGCTTCGCCTCGCCCGTACGCACGCACGGCACGCACGACACGAATCCGAGACCGAAGTCGATTTCCCAGTAGGGGGGGTCTCCGTTTTACGCCGGGCTCACCCCCCCAACCTCCGACAGCATCACCATCACCATCACCATCACCATCACCATCACCATCACCATCACCATCACCATCACCATCACCATCACCATCACCATCACGGGCACCCATCAGCCATCAGCCATCAGCCATCAGCCACCATCAAACATCCATCATTCATCACCATCCGCACTCCTAATTACCCCTCACTCGTCGTACTCCTACTCCTCCTACTCGTCGTCCTGCTCCTCACTCGTCGTACTCCTACTCCTACTCCTCACTCGTCGTACTCCTACTCCTCACTCGTCGTACCCCTACTCCTCACTCGTCGTACTACTCCACATCCGCACTCCTCCTACTCGTCGTCCTGCGCCTGGCCTCGGCGGCAGTGCCCCCGTGGGGGGCCACGGGAGCTCTCGCTCTCCCGTCGTCCGCCCGCACCCGCGCTCGCCCTCTCCTTTCTTTCCCTCTTCTCCTCTCTCTCTCCTCTCTCTCTCTCTTCTTTCCTCTCCTCTCACTACTTCTTAATTATTAGTTTATTTAAGTTATTATTATTATTATTATTCTTATTACTATTTATTATTTCTCTCTTTTCTTCCCTTTCTCTCTTTTTCTCTTCTTCTTTCCTTTTTTTTTCTTCTTTTCTTTCTTCTCTCTCCTTCCTTTTTTTTTTTTTTCTTTTCCCCCTCTTCTTCCTTTTTTTTTCTTTCTTCCCTTTTTCCTCTCTTTTTTTTTTTTCTCCTTTTGCTCCCTCTGTGCGAGAGGAGGGGGGGTGGAGACGAGGGAGGGAGGGAAGCAGGGAGCGGACGGGAGGGAGGGAGGGAGGCGGTGAATGGGAGGGCGGAGAGGGAGGCGTGGGGAAAACCTGGGGAGGGGGAAGTGAGGAGGAGGATGGGAGGGAGGACAGGAGGGAGGGGGAAGTGAGGAGGAGGAGGAGGAGGAGGAGGAGGAGGAGGAGGACGAGGGAGGGAGGACAGGAGGGAGGGGCGGGAGGAGGGAGGGAGGCGGTGGATGGGAGGGGGCGTAGAGGATGGTGATGACGATGATGATGATGATGATGATGATGATGATGATGATGATGATGATGATGATGATGATGATGATGATGATGATGATGATGATGATGATGATGATGATGGTGGTGGTGGTGGTGGTGGGGGGGGGTGAGTGGGTGGTTGGTGGAGGTGGTATGGTGGTGGGTGTGGTGGTGTGATGATTGAGGATGAATTTGATGATGGTGTTGGTGTTCTTGGTTGTGATGATGATGATGATGATGATGATGATGATGATGATGATGATGATGATGATGATGATGGTGATGGTGATGATGATGGTGATGAGTAGGAGGAAAAGGAGAAGGATGAGGATGAGGTGGAGGAGGAGGAGGAGGAGGAGGACCAGTGTAAACTAAAGAGTCATCAGCGATGTTGGAAAACGCCCTCCGTCCAATCCCCCTCGTCATAGGCCCCTACAGCGGTTTATCTCCACTGAGGAAACTGCCTCGTCGGAAGACAACCGTTTGAATATTCTGAAACGTGCCCAAACATGGTTCTCGGGATTCCAACGCCGCGGATCAACCTGACTGTTGTGTCTTGACGAGCCTGAATCGGGCCAGAGGGAGGCAGGAAACAGTGAGGAAAAGGCAAAGGAGGAGGAGGAGGAGGAGGAGAAGGAGGAGGAGGAGGAGCAGGAGGAGGAGGAGAAAAAACAAAAAAAGAGCAGGAGAGGAGGAGGAGGGGATGGAGAGGAGAAGGTGGAGGAGGAGGAGGGGGAGGAGGGGGAGGAGGAAGAGTATGGGAGGGAGCGGTAGGAGGAGGAGGAAGGAGGAGGAGGAAAGGACGAGGAGGAAAGGAGGGGGAGGAGGAGGAGGGGGAGGCGGAGGGAGAGGACTGAACGCCGGGAGGAGGAGGAGGAGGAGAAGGACGAGGAGGAGGAGGGGGAGGAGGAGGAGGGGGAGGCTGATGGGGAGGCTGACGGGGAGGAGTAGATGGGAAAGGAGGGGGAATCAGGAGGGTGAGGGCGCTTGAGGGAGAGAGGGAACAGGGAGGAAGAGGGAAAAGAGGAGGAGGAGGCGGAGTTTGAGGAGGAGGAGGAGGAAGAGGAAGAGGAGGATGATAATGACGAGGAGGAGCAGGAGGATGAGGAGGAGGAGCAGGAGGAGGGGGAGGAAGAGGAGGAGGACGAGGAAGAACCAGAGAAGGAGGACAAGCTGGAACAGATGGAACATGCGCAGGAAGAGGACGAGGCGGATGTGGAGGAGGATAGACGCTGGCGGAGGCGGAGGACAGTAACAGGAGGAGGGGGGGGGACCAGAGTAAACCGGGCACGCGCAACGTGTATTATAATGCGCCTTCTCGTCCTAAGTCCGTTACCCATACGCATGTCAATGCACATATTTTCTTTGACCGCGGTGAGAATTCACACGTCGCTGAGAACCCTCTGGACCTGCGTGGTGAGAAGTCTAGGGCCTACGGTCGGGACCTTCCACTTCGCGTGTCGCAGCGGCGCGTGGCGACATGCTATACTTTCCAAGCTGATAGCGTGTCGTTCTGTTCCGCGGGGCGCGAGGCTGCGACATGCTCGGGATGTTGACGCCTGGGAAGGAGGACGTGGATCGCGCGTAGCGCCGAATAATGATGGACTAGAACCGACGGCATTACACGCTGAGCCAAAATTCCCCACCGATTGTGGTTCGAACAGTGCGCTGCACCCACGTAGCTGGTAGAATCAGGAAAATCGTTCGGCGCTGAAGCGAGAACGCGAGTTTGAAAAAGAGCCGCCCTCTAACTGTGTAGCTGCTAGGCAGTTCTAGCTTAGGAGGCTCAACGTGAGGTCGCCCAGCGCGAGAGCCAGGTTTTGAACACGACCGCAATCAAAGTGTTCATGTGCTAAACTTTCCAAGCTTCCTGATCATTCATTAGAGGTAGTCGAATGGGAAAGCCACAGCTGGAAATAGTGCAGCCCTCAGCCCTGTCATTGCTCGGAAGGTCAAGCTTTATGGTCGTCAGTTTTGTGGTAGCCTTCGGCGGGAGTCGCATTTTGAAAAGCAACCGCTCTCCAAATGTGTAGAACCGTTGGAAGCTTCTAATACGAATGTGCGAGAAGCTGCGGCGACAGCCATCTCTGGTTTGAAGGGGGCCGCCATTCATGGGTGTCACTGGTTCGGAATATTCAACGCGTATGTGTTCGACGCCTTCCCAGACATCCGACGATAGTTTTTTCAATGTGCGGCCCAGAGGTCCCGACCCTTCCCCAGGGCCAGTCTTTCGTCCTGCATCCATGTTTGATGGCCCCGCGGCCGATAACCAGTCTCGGAGGCCAGAATCGAGGGAAAGCAGCGGGTTGAACAAATCACATCGTCGGAGATCTTGGTCCCCTCCTACTCCCCTCCCGTCTTCACCCCCTCCCTCCGTCCGCCCCCGCCGCCTCCGCCAGGCGTGGCTCGAAGCCCCCTCCCGCCCCAGCCGCGCGGCGCCGCGCGGGGTGTGTGCGTTCTCCCCTGGCAGCGTGCGTCCAAGAGATGGCCAGGGGCTTCGCCGGAGGCAGGGGCGGCGTCCTGGATGGCCAGCGCCGCGCTCTTCTTTCAGTGTTGTTTAACCGATCCCCATCCCCACTGGGCCATGGTACCTGAGCCCCACCATCCCACCGACCCAGTTGGGGATAGGCCCCTCGAAACCCGAAGGGAACAGCCTAAATCCCCATCTAGGGAGGTAGATCGGCCAGTGGGGCCCAGGCCACGCCAGTGGAAACAGGGATCGGTTCAACGATGCTCATTGTGTGTAATTAGAGGATCGAAATGGGACAGGAGAGAATGGTGACGAAGAGCGACAGCAGTTCCTGTCCATGCCGGACAGGACTCGCTGTCGGTGTCGCCCGCGGACGCTGTCCATTTGGGGCAGAAGCTCGCCTGCCTAACAGCGGCCGCTGTTGGTTTCAGGCAACATGTGCTGTTGGGCATTGCAAAATGTTTCCATACCCATTTCGGGTGTGCCAAGTGTCCTTTCCTTCACGCTGCTGCTGCTGTCTCCACCTCGCTCCTCACTCCTCCCTCCCCATGGAGCTGGAGCTGACGGGTGGCTCTCATTCAGTGTAGATCCTCTCGCTCCCTCCTTCTGACCACTTGTGGGATGTCTTGGGACTCGTGACTCCCCTCTTCCCTGCTCCCTTCTGCCTCCTCCATGCAGTGGATGGCCTGGAACGGTCCGCGGGTTCGCTCCCCTCCCCTCCTGTGGGTCTTGAGTCGGGTTCCTGCCGTTGACTCCGCCCCGCCGGCGGGGTTGCTCAACGAGGACCCGTCCTTGCACCCGACTGCGAGTCTGAGCCAATCCTCCATGCAGTGGGGTGGCCAGGGCAGACGTGCACGCGCTGTGATCCTCGACCCACTTTCCGCCACCATCCGCGAGCGAGTATGATCCTGAGCGGGCGAGGGTGCACTCGCGCGACTGGTCACGCGTCGCCACTTGGAGCCACATCCGTGCTGCCGGGGCGGCCAGCTCCGCGGCGTGGGCGAAGTCTAGGAGGCGGTGACAGCTGCGCAAGCGCCTGTTCGGCAAAGCCGTCGCCCCTTTCTGACGGTGCCGCCGGGAGGGATACATCATCACAAAGCGGGGTGCTTGGCTCCCGCGTGCACCGTGGATCAAGGGTTCCATCTTCATCTTCAGAAAGCTGCTGGTGGTCCTTCGTCATCTTCAGGAGCTGCTGGCGATGCCTCGTCATCTTCGAACACTGCCAGTGACCTTTGTTATCCCCGCGATAACCTGCGTCTCTGGCTATAATATCAGTTCTCTTGGTGAGGAAGGGGTGTGCAAGTCGACTGCAGGACGCCGATTCTTCTCCTGATCCATTGGGTGTTGGCGGAACTCGAGCAGCTGAGCTCGAGCACTCGTTCTGTCCTTCCTTGTTGCACTATTCCGGCGAGCTTCCACTCCAGAGCTAGGGTGTTGCTCATCCACTAAATACCCCCTCCGACACCATCCATCACTGGCATCTGCGTTGATGTCATCTTGGCTCAGTGCATTGCCTTCGACTGGTTTCTTCATCCAAGGCGGGGCCACGGATCCAGGCTCAATTGTGGGGTTTCTCCGAAGGGCTTGGGCGACCCGTCCTCCTCCTCCTCCTCCTGCTCCTTCTCCTCCTCCTCCTCCTCCTCCTTCTGCTCCTCCTCCCCCTCATCCTCCTCCCCCTCCTCCTCCTCCTCCTTTCCCCCCCCCTCCTCCTCCTCCTCCTCCTCCTCCTCCTCCTCCTCCTCCTCCTCCTCCTCCTCGGGTCGCCTACGACCCCGGGGGAAACCGTGCAGGCTCCATCTGGCCCATGCCCTGCCCAGGAACCCTGGTGCCCGCGGGAGGCGGGGCGGAGGCCAGGTCGGAGCTGGGCGGGCCCAGGACTCTCAGAGCGTCCCAGAACGCTCTCAGAGCGTTTAGTGGATCGACTGACTACAGAATCGATTTACCCCGAAATCGATTTCTTCCTCGAAACTAGTAAGATGATCTGCACGGCTCAGCAGATCTACGGAGCATCCTGCGATCTTCTCGCAGATTCAAGGGACAATCAATTCAGGGGTAAATCGATTCTGTAGTCGATCTCCAGCTCGAAGCGTCGCGGGGCGCTCTGGAACGGCCGCGGCGCCCGAGAGATCCTCCGGAACCGCCGGATCTCGCAGAGCGGAGCCGCCACAGTCTGCCAGGAGCGATTCGGCCACCGTCCCAGACATCCAGCGCCCCAATTGTTGCCGATGCGTGGGCCCGCAGAGGTCTGGACCACTTCCCTGCAGGGCCGGCTTTTCATCCCGAGTCGTTTTGGTTGACGGCCCCGTGGCTCGTTGAGGGCCCACAGGGGCCGAACATAATCAGCCCAAACCAGCCGCTCCGATTTGTTCGGAGCCTCGGATCTTTGGGGTACGAGTGCCAGGACAGTCGTGTTCCTCTTTGCCTCGTCCTGGTCAGTCTGGGACGGTTGTCTCTGCCTTGCGTGGACGCTTTGGCCTTTTCCGCGTGCATCCGCCTTGCGTTTTTTTGTTTTTTTGTTTTTTTTTTCTGTACGTGACTGCCCACACCCAGTCCACCATCTGCTACGTCATGTGGCAGTCCGACGGGCGTGACCTGGCTCAGCGCCCCACGGCAGTGCCGTCACCTCGCCGCCGGAAGCAAATACGTGTGCATACCGGGGCACGGGAGCCTTGGACGTCCTCAGATTTCCGTGTTCCGGGTGCGTTGGCTTGCGCTAGCAGCTGGTAGAATCGATGGAGGGAGCAGGTGCCGATTAAGATTCCACCAGCGTCGACGGAGCGTCGACCGAGAGTCGATCGGCGTCGACGAGCGTCGGTCGGCATCGACTAGCGTCGGCCGGCACGACGGCACGGGAGGCCCCCATGGCTTGCCACGGAAGCGCGCAGTGCTTCGGGCCTCCGCCCCCCGCCCGCTGCTGCTTCACCACCCACCAAACCACCCCAACCCAACCCGAAGGCCCAAATTTATCCTCGATTTCCAGTGGGGGGGGGTCGGGGAACGTTGAAAAAGCACATGGTATCCGTACCCCCCCCAACCCGAAATTCGGGTCAAATTCGGGTCTTCGGGTTGGGTTGGGGTGGTCTGGTAGGTAGTCACTCACCCTCTCTGCACGTGGCGTCCGAGCCCGAGCGCCTCGCAGTGCCCAGGAGCCTCCAGAGCGGGCGGCCCGTGCAGGAGGCCCTGCCGACCGCAGGGCGTCGGCATCGTGCCCGCGGTCTCCCGCTGCCGCTGCCACCCATTCGAAGGGTCGGCGGCGAGCTCGAGGCGGGGAAGCGAGGAGGGAGGAGGCCTTCTCAGAGGGCGGCGGGGCTTCCGAGAAGGCCTCCTGTGTCTTCGGGGAAGGCTTTGGGAGCCTCTCGGAAGGCCGGGGGACTTCGAGCCTTCTGTGGAGGCCCGCCCCTGCTCGCCTTCTCCCCCTCGCTCGCCGCCGAGAAGAAGAACAAGAACGGCATAAACACGAAGATTCGGAGCCCCTCGCGGATTTCTGGGATAGACGTTGGGTCCCCCCTAGCGGCGCCTCCGGCACCGCTCCAGCGCGGATCCAAGAGGGGAGCTCCAACAGTTTATGTTCATGCAGTTTTCTCTTCCTCGATCCGCGCCGCTGGCGTTTCCGTTGATGCCATTTCGGCACAGTGCTCCGCCTGCGACCTCTCTCTTGCGCCCCGCCCTATCCCGCCCTGTGTCCCCTGCGGCACTCGGAGACGGATATTGCGCTGTGCTCTCTAAGGGAGGTCGCGTGACCTCGCCCTCCTTTTTGCCCCGCCTGTGCCATGGCCTGGGCACAACACGAGCTCATTATTCGGGAGGCCCTTATCCGTTTGAACCCAAAGAGTGGCCGAGGGGACATGTGTGACAGATGGACTTTTAGATCGAATGTCAAGAAGAAGCTCGCAGAGAAAGATCGTTCTCCCCGTCCTCTTCTTACCCTTCCCCCTCTTCCTTCGTCGCCACTTTCATTTTGCGCTGCTACAGAGGACCGCCCGCTGCTCCTCTTCTCCTGTGCACGGTTTCTCCTCTCACACCTCTTTACTTCGTCGTCGTCGTCGTCGACGGCCTCGTCGGCGGCCTCATCGTCGCCAGCCGTCGCTGTCGGCTGCCTCGTTCCCTCCTCTCTCAACCCCGCCCCCCCCTCCGACAGTCGGGAGTTTTTTTGGGGGGGTAAGGCAGGCAGACAGGCAGATACGAACCGTGCTCAGACGGCATATCGGCTGCAGACCACACGCATGAGCGTATGTACGATACAGGCCAGAACCTCTGGTCCGGAGGAGTTTTTCGGAGGTGGGGGACTGGGCGGAGTCCGGGTTCCGCTGGAGAGGTGGGGACTTTCCTGAGGGGGGGGGTCCCAGTTCCAGCGATGGGTGGTCGGATTTTCCGCAGCACAGCGCCGAAAGAAGGCGTTCTTTCAAAGACCCTCTGCGAGCCGACCATTGTGTTACAGTGGCAGGCAGTGCACGTTCGCGACGCAGTGCCTTCCTCCACCTCCCCCATCGCCGTCGTGAGGCCATTCCATATTCGACCAGGCGCCCGTGGCAATCCTCGCCGTGGGTACCAATGAGCTCATCGCCGAGGTCAACATGGCTGCCTGTGCTCTCATGGGCTGCGGGCTCGACAGCTTGTCGGGGGAAACAGGGACAGGAGGCATATGCAGGCGTAGCAGTAATGCACCCACAGTTCAGGGTGTACTGCCTCTCCTCCTCCTCCTCCTCCTCCTTCTACTCCTCCTCCTCCTCCTCCTCCTCCTCCTCTCCTTTTTTTTTTTTTCCTACTCCTCCTCCTCCTCCTCCTCCTCCTCTTTCCTCCTCCTCCTCCTCCTCCTACTCCCTCGTCCTCCTCCCGCCT